AACTGTCGAGGATAGCAATAGTCACGGTTACTGTAGCTATGCAATACAGTTAATAAGGGAATGTACCCCTCAGAGTACATGGCTAGCTATACTTCTATTTAATCTCTTGTACTCCTATCTTTCAATCATCTTGTTGTTCTCCTTCAATTATTATTCAACAAGGTCACTACAGAGACTTCATTGTCTCCTCTCAGACTTAACAGATTCTATCCTATCCACTGGATCCTTGGTTATCCCAGCACAATTATTGTAGGGCTGGAATTATTGGAGTCTAGAGGTCTGGGGGTAGAATTATTGGTACTCCTTTACTGGAGTTGCCGTTATTGGTGGCACAATTATTGGTGTGGATGGATGGGTATGGGCAGGGTAGCTGATAGCATAAATTCCCTGCAGTGGTTTCATAATCAATCAATTCCATTATTCTCATTCTGCTTTCAGCCATTCAGTGCAAGTCTTCCAGCCTTGCTCTTTCTACAATCTAGCTTCCGCAACGCCGGCATCATGCCTTTCTAGCATTTGGAACCCTGCTTCCCAGCCTGGTTTTTTTTCGTTTCACTGATTTTCAGACTTACTAGCTGATGACATAATCCCGCGCCACGCATCTTTTTTTTTTGCTGGGTTATAAACGAGACATCTGTAGCTATATTGTGGCCAACGTGGCGGGGTCTGTGTTTTTATCGAGAAGTACTGTACGAGGAGTTGCAAAAGCCCCACTCAGACCTCAGTCAGGCTGGGGGCGAATCAATCAGCGTCTGGGCACGGCACTGATCTTTCAACACTAACTCCCCTGCCACATCCGAATCGGATAAGATAAGCAGTGCAATTTCAAGCTTTCCAATCTGGTGTAATACGTTCTTCTGCGGTCTGTGTTTACAAGGTTCCTCTTTTCACCCTCTCGCCTTGTGAGGGAAACGTTTCAACTTACCAATCGAATCAGCCATGGCCGCACCGCACGGCACTTCTACTGAAGCCTTATCTGGCTCTTGATCCTATTCACGTGCCACTCGCTGTCATGGAGGCCATTTCCGTGTTCCTTCCTTCCGTGCTTAACAATGCGCTGCGAAATACGTGGATGGTGGCGCTTAGATTTTCTTCAGCTTGCGTCACACAATTCCGTCAATAGATTTTCCGCTAGATCCGTTCACGTGGCAAATGCTCGAGATCGCAAACTAAACCACCGCAACGATATCGATCCGACGTGGAAGGCGGTGATGCTCGCGGGAGATTCCCCTAGTCTTCCACTTGCAATCGTACTTCTAGATTTTCTCAAGTATCAAGCAAATACGTTATCAGGTTCAGCCCGAATTTCCCCGCTATGGCTACGTTGTATCTTGTCCGCCCTTTCGGGTCGACTCACCGCCGCACACTCACGTGCCATCACTCCCATTGGTAACCATTCCTCCAATGGCGAGCGTCACGCGCATCGCTCGGCGGACAGCACCACCGTGGTGGCTCTGGAATCGAGGGCCGGGAAACGCTTGAGAGGAGGGAGGGGAACTCCCACTTGTAGCCTCGCAGTGAATCGTCCCATCATATAAGGCAGCGTGCGAATACCGCTGCTTCCCATCATTCTCGTTTGGAAGTTACTACTACTAGCGCTAGATCTACCTCGTTACTACTACTCGCCGCCGCGCTGCACCTGTAACACCCAAGGCTATTATAATGGAGTTACAATGCTTTTATAATAAATCTCAATACAAGTTGAAGCTCTAACTAGCTCCCAATAGCCTTGGAGGTGTCAATCTTCTTGAAGGAGTTGTTGAAAAGGCTTGAGAGAATTGTGTAGGAAGGCTCGTGAGAGAGCTCTCAATGACTTAGGCAAAACAATCCCATTTCCAATTGTTTAGTTGGAGTGGGAGGTTGAGAATCAGCTTGCTTAGCTCAGACCCCCTCAATACACCCCTTGGGGAACTATCCCAACCATGGTTTCCATGGTGGGATGGTTCCTAGGCTTGGAGCCTATGTGGCAATTGTGTTGGGTTGGAAAACCCAACTTAGAACCATTCAATGGTTGTGTTTAGGATAGAGTAGATTGTAACACTTGTTTGGCAATTTCTGATTGGTTGGAATTCCAACCTTCAAGATTCTCTTGGTTGAATTGGAAATGTTCCAAACCTCCAAAGTTGAGGCTTGGCAAACCCAAACCAAGTTTCATCCCAACCAACTCAACCATCTTCTCCAACTCTTCGTTTGTCGAGAGATCGATGGTCGTTAGCTTGGTAGTTAGGGTAATACGTTACAGCACCTACCACAGCCTCCAGCTATCTCGTTTTGAGAGCGGAGGTAGTACATCCCATCCCGAAATGGCGATCCGCCCCCAGCGTTACTACTACTCTCCTACAGCTTCGCGAACCGCCACCACGCGTCATTCACTCTTGGAGCCTCGCGATCTCTATCCTCCGCCGCACAGGAGCGAAGCGCAGCAGCCGTCGATGGACTCTTACGCATCGGACGCGTCAGCGTCGTTTGCGCCGTTTGCGCCGTCCTTTCCGCCGGTGCGGTCTGGCTGCTTCGAGCAACCTCCACGCGCGACCCCCGCCGCGTCCACTTCTCGCGGAAGTTGCGCCTCCGGCCACCGCGGGGACGCGCCGTCGCCCGCCCACCGCCGTGCGCTTTCCGTCTCTGAGTGCGAGAAGCTCTTGCTCCCCTCGCCTCCCCGCGGGGACAGACCCGCCGCCTGCGCGTTCCGCCGCCGCCGCCAACAACTCGGACTTTCCAAGGAACCCTCTTTTGAGGCCAACGCGGCCGCTGCCATGACAGAATCTAGGGCATCAACAGAAAGTTTTTCCTTGCTACCTGCCAGCTCAAGTCCCATGAGGATGCAGCGTGCAGATGGTGCTGATGATACCACGCCATCGCCACGGGTGTTTGCGAGAAGAAAAGCGTATTCAACTCCAGCAACCATCGTGGCCCGACACTCACTTGCGCCTCAAGGAAAGCCAGACTCCCATGTGGTAACGTCTCAGGCAGCAGCACAGGCAGCATCAAATGCAAACGCACAGGTGGAATCGAATGCCGCAGCAGAGGCAGCACCATCAGTAGCAGCACAGGCGGCATCACACGTGGTTAGCAGATGTGCACGGTCGTTCTTCCTGCGGGTTGCCCATACCCATGGACATCAGGCTGTCAGCAGCAGCAACAGCAGCAGCAGCAGCAGCAACAACCCTGTCTCCCCCACTTCCTCTGCCACTGCCCCGTCCGTACGAACTTACAGCAGCTGCAGCGCCCCTTGCTCTCCTCGTTCCCCACTGCCCTGCACCATGCCTGGCAACACCTGCGCCCCACCCATCACCAGCAGTGCAGCAACCCTCAGGCGGGCAGAGGCTGAGGCTGGGGGGTACCAACCAGTGCGTGTCAAACCGTGCCTCACTGCCCCCTCCAGTACCTGTAAGTGGAGCACGGAAGTGGTCTCACCTAGTAACAGAAGCCACAAGCGCGTGAGCTTTGTGAAATACGTTGAGATTCTGGAGTTTGTCACCTAGGCAGACAAGGGGATGGGAAGGAAGGAAGCCATGGGTCGGGGGGGTTACTCCAGAGGACACTAACAAGTTAGTGTTTATGGCGTGTTGAAATGCGCTAGCAGGAACGACTTTATGATGGTACAGAGCAGCACTGAAGCGAACTAATTCCTGAAATCAAGTGTCATTATGTTAATTCAGTTCAAACACATTTCCTTCCTGCAATGGTGTGATATCTTGACTATTTTTTATATGTTTTGTGCGGTATGCGTTTAGTGAGTATGTGTACACCACGCACACCTCGCCCTTATCCCTTTCTCCACCACAAATTTGAGGGTTTTTAGTTTATCGAGAAGCACTACTGGACAAAATTTGCTCCGAAGGCACTGTTAGCGCTGCTGGGGACTAGTTACGTGGATTTCCAATCTGAGAGCGTTCACTTATTACGCTCGTAAGAAAGTCCGACCCTGATTGGTCAAAACAGTTAACATACAGACGATGACCGTCTCGTCCACGTCGACCGGTCAACGTCATTTTTCGGGCAAAAAAAAATGTACCCTCTCAGGTGGTATGCCATTCAGGGAGTCATCAACCCTAAACACCATGCGGCAAGGTGTTTAGGGTTGATGCTTTCTTGTATTTTTGGGAGGGGTCAACCCTAAACACGGGAACCCTTCTGGTGTTTAGGGTTGTCCATTCCCATCGGGTTTTTTTTTTCGTACGCATTTTCGAGTGAGATCAATCCTAAACACCTTGCCACATGGTGTTTTGGGTTGATACTTCCCCAATCGGATTTTCGACGAATCATATTTCGAATTCCTAACGAGCATAATAAGTGAACGCTCTTAGATTAGAAGTCCACGTAACTAGTCCCCAGGAGCGCTAATAGTGCCTTCGGAGCAAAGTTCGTCCAGTAGTGCTTCTCGATTACCTGAAAACCCCAAATTTGATCGTGGCGGGAGCTTCCCTGTCGTCCCACTTGCCATTGCACATACATATTACCTAAAATCAGATTCGGCCTGAGGACCTTCGCCCGTGAGGCCGCGGCGCGCAACGCGTCTGCTCTGGGTCGAACGAGCGAGCCATCGGCCACATTCGCATCCCATCACTCTCATTAATCAGCAATCTGTTTTTTGAGAATTCTCGCACCGCGTCTGCCCTGGTCGAACGATCCATGGCCACATTCGCATTTCGTCGCTCTCATTGGTCACAATCTTCGACAGCAAGCCGGTTCGCGCATTTAACGGGGCAGGACCACCGGTGGATAAGGAAGCGAGGGGAGAACTTCATTCGGCGCCTCGCAATGATTCGTACAATCAACATATTATGCGGCAGCGCGTGAATACCGCTGCGGCTTCCTATCATTCGTTTGATCCATCTCGTTTCCAAGTTGCGAGCCTCAGTCGGATCTTGTAGCGGCTCTAGCAGGAAACTACCTTGTCTCTACGGCTCGCATCTACCACGCTCTGCATTTCACCCAGTCGCCTGTCACGCAGCGATACTGTCACGATTTAGAAGGTCACGCAGCGATACTATCACCGAATGGACGCCATAGCGTGCCGCCATCAGCGTTACTATCACTCCGAGTGGGAGTTCCCACAACAGCCTGCTACAACTCCGCAAACCGTCACGCATCACTGCGCAGGGCAACCTCTCCCGGGGCTTCAGGATCTCTATCATAGAGATGATACTCCACACAGGGGGGACGAGCAACAGCAACAGTCGATGGACTACGCCGCCGCGGCATCGGACACGTCCGCATCGTTAGCGCCAATATCGCCGTTTCCGCCGTATGCGCCGTTTCCACCGTTTGCGCCGCCGTTTCTGCCGAAGGTGCTTTCTGCCTGCTCCGCGCAATCTCCCCGCGCCACCCCCGCCGGCGCAGAGTCCGCCTCCTTTCGCCGCGGGGACGCGCCGAAGACTGCGCACCGCCGCGCTCGTTCCGCCTCTGGCGCGTGCGGAATGCGCAACTTGCTCCCCTCGCCTGCCCGCGGGGATGCACCTTCCCCCGCGGCGACAAACCCGCCGCCGTGCGCGCTCCACCATGCGCGTTCCGCCTCTGACTGCGAGATGCTCTCTACTAGTAAGACCCAGTTGCTCCCCTCGCCTCCCCGCGGGGACAAACCCGCTGCCTGCGCGTTCCGCCGCCGCCGCCACCAACTCGCGCTTTCCAGTAAACCCCCTCCCGGAGTCAACTCGGCTGCTGCAAATGACTTACAATCTCAGGCATCTTCAGAAGACGGGCTCCCCTCACAACCTGCGAGCTCCTCGAGACCCAGACGCGTACAACGCAAGAGGGAGCTTGATTTACGGCGAAACTTCCCTGCCGACGAAAGCACCAGGAAGCAGATGGGAGCAGCGTGGAAGCAGCGTGCAGATGGCACAGACTCCAAGGATACCACACCCCCGTCGCCTGGAGTCTTTGAGGGGAGTGCAGCGCGTTCCACTCCGGTTGGGATTTTTGAGTTGATTCAAGGATCACCTGATGATACCGCACCGCCGCCGCCTCGGGTGTTTGCGAGGAGTAAAGCGTATTCCACACCGATGATCCTGGTGCTCCGATGCATGATGGTAACACCTCAGGCACCTCAGGCAAAGCCGGACTCGCAGGAGGTGGCACCTCAGGCGAAGCTGAGCTCACAGGAGGTGGCGCCTCAGGCAGCATCACATGTAACCTCACGAGCGGCACCACATCGAACCTCACAGGCGGCACCAACTGTCCTCAGTGCCCGTGCAGTCAGCAGCAGCACCCTCGTTTCTCCCACTTGCCCTGCCTCATCCCCTGCTGCGAGGAACTACAGCAACAGCAGAAGCAGCAGCGCTCCTTCCTCTCCTCGTTCCCCTCTATCATGCATTAGACCTAGCATCAGCTGCAGCAGTTTACACAGCAGCAGTGTACGCAGCAGCAGGCGGGCTAAGGCTGAGGCAAAACAGCCGGTGCGTGCCAGGCCGTGCATCGCTGCTCCCCCCAGCCCGTGCAGCTTTGAGACGTCTCAAAACTCAAAGGCTAAGTCTGAGGCAGGGAGGAAACAACCAGTGCGTGTCAGGCCGTGCATCACTGCTCCCCCCAGCCCGTGCAGCTTTGAGACGTCTCAAAACTCAAAGGCTAAGTCTGAGGCAGGGAGGAAACAACCAGTGCGTGTCAGGGCCGTGCATCACTGCTCCCCCCAGCCCGTGCAGCTTTGAGACGTCTCAAAACTCAAAGGCTAAGTCTGAGGCAGGGAGGAAACAACCAGTGCGTGTCAGGCCGTGCATCACTGCTCCCCCCAGCCCGTGCAGCTTTGAGACGTCTCGAAACTCAAAGGCTAAGTCTGAGGCAGGGAGGAAACAACCAGTGCGTGTCAGGCCGTGCATCACTGCTCCCCCCAGCCCGTGCAGCTTTGAGACGTCTCAAAACTCAAAGGCTAAGTCTGAGGCAGGGAGGAAACAACCAGTGCGTGTCAGGCCGTGCATCACTGCTCCCCCCAGCCCGTGCAGCTTTGAGACGTCTCAAAACTCAAAGGCTAAGTCTGAGGCAGGGAGGAAACAACCAGTGCGTGTCAGGCCGTGCATCACTGCTCCCCCCAGCCCGTGCAGCTTTGAGACGTCTCGAAACTCAAAGGCTAAGTCTGAGGCAGGGAGGAAACAACCAGTGCGTGTCAGGCCGTGCATCACTGCTCCCCCCAGCCCGTGCAGCTTTGAGACGTCTCAAAACTCAAAGGCTAAGTCTGAGGCAGGGAGGAAACAACCAGTGCGTGTCAGGCCGTGCATCACTGCTCCCCCCAGCCCGTGCAGCTTTGAGACGTCTCAAAACTCAAAGGCTAAGTCTGAGGCAGGGAGGAAACAACCAGTGCGTGTCAGGCCGTGCATCACTGCTCCCCCCAGCCCGTGCAGCTTTGAGACGTCTCAAAACTCAAAGGCTAAGTCTGAGGCAGGGAGGAAACAACCAGTGCGTGTCAGGCCGTGCATCACTGCTCCCCCCAGCCCGTGCAGCTTTGAGACGTCTCAAAACTCAAAGGCTAAGTCTGAGGCAGGGAGGAAACAACCAGTGCGTGTCAGGCCGTGCATCACTGCTCCCCCCAGCCCGTGCAGCTTTGAGACGTCTCAAAACTCAAAGGCTAAGTCTGAGGCAGGGAGGAAACAACCAGTGCGTGTCAGGCCGTGCATCACTGCTCCCCCCAGCCCGTGCAGCTTTGAGACGTCTCGAAACTCAAAGGCTAAGTCTGAGGCAGGGAGGAAACAACCAGTGCGTGTCAGGCCGTGCATCACTGCTCCCCCCAGCCCGTGCAGCTTTGAGACGTCTCAAAACTCAAAGGCTAAGTCTGAGGCAGGGAGGAAACAACCAGTGCGTGTCAGGCCGTGCATCACTGCTCCCCCCAGCCCGTGCAGCTTTGAGACGTCTCAAAACTCAAAGGCTAAGTCTGAGGCAGGGAGGAAACAACCAGTGCGTGTCAGGCCGTGCATCACTGCTCCCCCCAGCCCGTGCAGCTTTGAGACGTCTCAAAACTCAAAGGCTAAGTCTGAGGCAGGGAGGAAACAACCAGTGCGTGTCAGGCCGTGCATCACTGCTCCCCCCAGCCCGTGCAGCTTTGAGACGTCTCAAAACTCAAAGGCTAAGTCTGAGGCAGGGAGGAAACAACCAGTGCGTGTCAGGCCGTGCATCACTGCTCCCCCCAGCCCGTGCAGCTTTGAGACGTCTCGAAACTCAAAGGCTAAGTCTGAGGCAGGGAGGAAACAACCAGTGCGTGTCAGGCCGTGCATCACTGCTCCCCCCAGCCCGTGCAGCTTTGAGACGTCTCAAAACTCAAAGGCTAAGTCTGAGGCAGGGAGGAAACAACCAGTGCGTGTCAGGCCGTGCATCACTGCTCCCCCCAGCCCGTGCAGCTTTGAGACGTCTCAAAACTCAAAGGCTAAGTCTGAGGCAGGGAGGAAACAACCAGTGCGTGTCAGGCCGTGCATCACTGCTCCCCCCAGCCCGTGCAGCTTTGAGACGTCTCGAAACTCAAAGGCTAAGTCTGAGGCAGGGAGGAAACAACCAGTGCGTGTCAGGCCGTGCATCACTGCTCCCCCCAGCCCGTGCAGCTTTGAGACGTCTCAAAACTCAAAGGCTAAGTCTGAGGCAGGGAGGAAACAACCAGTGCGTGTCAGGCCGTGCATCACTGCTCCCCCCAGCCCGTGCAGCTTTGAGACGTCTCAAAACTCAAAGGCTAAGTCTGAGGCAGGGAGGAAACAACCAGTGCGTGTCAGGCCGTGCATCACTGCTCCCCCCAGCCCGTGCAGCTTTGAGACGTCTCAAAACTCAAAGGCTAAGTCTGAGGCAGGGAGGAAACAACCAGTGCGTGTCAGGCCGTGCATCACTGCTCCCCCCAGCCCGTGCAGCTTTGAGACGTCTCAAAACTCAAAGGCTAAGTCTGAGGCAGGGAGGAAACAACCAGTGCGTGCCAGGCCGTGCATCACCGCTCCCCCCAGCCCGCGCAGCTTGGAAGCAGCCTCACCCCGAAGGAGCCCCAAGCGCGTGAGCTTTGTGAAACACGTTGAGATTCTGGAATTTGTTGCCTAGAGGGGTAGGTTAGAGTTTTTGGTCCTAATAAAGTGTACTATAAGCGTGTTGTGTTGATGTATGCGTGGTTGAACAAATGGTGCATTAATCCATACAACCTGCAGCCATGCAATGAGGCGTAAGCCATTGGATGGGATGGGATAGTTCCAGTTTAGCCGACACTGAATTGTGTGGGTAGGGTGTGGCTGATTAAAACTGGCATGAACAATAATGGTACTGGTACGATGAAGCAGCACCGGCATGTGTTGCTCTTCAAACAAACATGAACCTTTCAAAACACTTTAATGCCCCGCATGAAGTCTATGCCACTACATGTCAGTACCAAATATAACAAAAAAAAAGTACGGTACCAAATATAACCAGTTGCGGGAAATTAGCTGTAGCTAGCACTTCATTGCTGTACGCGTGCTTTGCCCCCTGAAGGCATTTCATTGCTGCGAGGAAGGGCGCTTCGGCCTACGCGGGCCGTAGGCAACACTGGCAAGGTATAGGCCACATGCAGCGCCATGGGAGGCACTCCATTCCTGTAAGAAAACCCTTTTCGGTCCCCAGGGGCAGTTCATTGCTGTGAAGCAGCTCGTTTGGGCGTCTGTGGGCCATAGACAGCACTGGCAAGGTAGAGGCTTCACGCAGTGCCATGGGAGGCATATCATTCCCAGGCTCGCTTTGGCCCCTAGCGGCATGTCATTGCTGTGAGGAGGCTCGTTTGGGCGTCTGCGGGCCGTAGGCAGAGCACTGGCAAGGTAGAGGCTGCACGCAGGCCCCATGGGAGGCATATCATATCATTCCCATGAGAGGCTCGCTTTGGCCCCTAGCGGCATGTCATTGCTGTGAGGAGGCTCGTTTGGGCCTATGGGGCCGTAGGCAACAGTGGCAAGGTATAGGCCACAGGCCGGCGCCATGGGCGGCACTCCCCGGATGTCCCTCGCTTCCAGGATTGACTTGACTGCCGGGCGGGAGGGGAGGAGAGGCGGAGGGGAGGGGACATGGTGGAATGAACTTGGAGTCAACTGAAGAAGTAGCAGCAGGCAGCCCCATGGGCAGCACTCCCCGAATGTCCCTCGTCTCCAGGATTGTCTTGACTGCCGGGATTTAAGGTTTAAAGTTATCGAGAATGCCTCAGGGGAGGGGAGGCGAGGCAGACGGAAGGCGGGGAGGGCAGGAACATTGTGATGTGAGTGGAGTCGACTTCCGGGAGGGGAGGTGGAGGGGAAAGCAAGGAAGGGGAGGGAAGAGGACATGGTGATTTGATGTGAAAAGAGGGCGCTCTCAGGAGCCATGGGCGGCACTCCCTGGATGTCCCTTGCCTCCGGGATTGATTTGACTTCCGGGAGGGGAGGTGGAGGGAAGGATGACGGGAAGAAGGAGAGAGGGGAAACAGAGAAAGACAAGGCAACAGAGCGAGGAAACAGAGCGAGGGTACCACACTTCGTGATAAAGACAAGGCTAGATTCGTGTGATAAAAGCCTTCGCGCCGCTTCAAAGCACATGGGACAAGAGTTAAACACATCTGAGAATGCGTCTGGATCGAACCTGGTGGCACCACAGACACCTGATCGAACTAACGACACAGTTTCTTATTCCCTTCTCTCCCCCCACCTTCACGTCTCCCCACATCCCTGTTCTCCCCTCCTCTCCCTCACCTGTGTTGGGGTGCACCGCCCCTGCTCCCACGGCCTTGACCAGCCCCACCAGCAGCCGCACCTGGTGGTACAGACCTGGAAACCAATGACATATCCCCCCCTCCCACTCTCCCCCCTTCCCCCCCCCCCACCCAAACCCCCTTTCCCACCTCTGTCGATATGCACTGCTCCTGCTCCCACGGCCTTGAACAGCCCCACCAGCAGCCGCACCTGAAGGTACAGGTTCTCTCAAACCACTATCTTACCTCTCTCTTTTCACCTGTCTCGGGGTAAACTGCCCCTGCACCAACGGCCTTGAGCAGCCCCACCAGCAGCCGCACCTGATGGTACAGACCCGTAAAGCAATGTGATCGCCCCCCCTCCCGCTTTCCCCCCTCCCACTTCCCCCTCTGCCCTCACCTGCGCCAGGCTCCACGGCCCCTGCTCCCACGGCCAGGCCTTGAGCAGCCCCACCAGAAGCCGCACCTGATGAAACCGATTAAAGAAAACACAATCTAACCCTTTCTCTTCCCCCCCCTTCCCTCACCTGTATCAGGCTGCACGGCCCCTGCACCAACGGCCTTGAGCAGTCCCACCAGCAGCCGCACCTGGTGGTACAGGAACGAGGGGGCCCTCGCCCGCACCACCAGCATCTGCACCCCTTCGCCACTTTCCACACTGTCCCCCTTTTCCTCCCTTTCCTTCCCTTCCTCCCCTCCTTCCCCTCCCTCCCCTTCCTTCCCTTCCCCCTCCTCCCTTGTCCCCTCCCTCACTCTCCTTGTCTCCTCTTTCTCACTCTCCCCTTTCGTTTCTCTCCTCCACCCCCTTCCTCTTTCTCCACCCCATCCTCCTCTTCTCCCCGCGACTCCTCCCCTCTCTCTTCCCCACGCAGCCTCTTGCCACTCGCCCCCTCTGCCCTCCCCTCTGCACACACTCCCTCCTCTTCCCTCCCTCGTTTCTCTCCACACACAACCGCTACCGCCTCCCCTTCGCCTCCCTCTGTGCCTGCTTTCGCCCTCTCAGGGCCGTGCCAGGTGGATACTTCACGTCCCTCTGCCTCCCCCTTTGGCCCTTCAGGCCCTTGCCACGTGGTGCAGGAGGGGTGGGAGGAGGCGGGCAGGCAGGCAGACCAGGAGGGCACCTCAAATACGGAGAGCTCACTTAGAGAGCGTAGAGGGGAGCGCGCCTGGTGGAGAAAAGCGAAAAGGATTGGTGGAGAGTGGTGTGGAGTGGTGGGGATGGGGTAGTGGGGGAGAGTCAGAGCGGGCAGGCTGGCGGACCAGGAGGGCACCTCAAAGATGGAGAGCTCACTTAGAGAGCGCAGAGGGGAGCGCGCCTGGGGGGAGAAGGAAGGAGGGAGGGAGTGGTGTGGGGAAGAGTGGGGGGAAGTGGGGTGTGGGAGGAGGCGGGCACGGGCAAGCAGGTGGGTCAGCAGGGAACCTCAAAGATGGAGCGAGCGCAGAGGGGAGCGCGCCTGGTGGGAGGAGTGATGGAGAGTGGGGAGTGGTGGGGATTTGGGTGGGAATGGGGAGTGGGGTTTGGGCAAGCAGGCAGGCGGGCCAGCAGGGAACCTCAAAGACCGAGAGCTCTGTGAACGAGTGGAGAGGAGAGCGCGCCTGGTGGGAGGGAGGTATGGTGTGGATCGGGAGAGAGAAGGGACATGCATGCAGACGTGGGTGGGAGGAAGAGGGACGATCAGGGGAGGGCGTGCCAGAAGGGGAGGGCGTGCCAGAAGGGGAGGGCGTGCCAGAAGGGGAGGGCGTGCCAGAAGGGGAGGGCGTGCCAGAAGGGGAGGGCGTGCCAGAAGGGGAGGGCGTGCCAGAAGGGGAGGGCGTGCCAGAAGGGGAGGGCGTGCCAGAAGGGGAGGGCGTGCCAGAAGGGGAGGGCGTGCCAGAAGGGGAGGGCGTGCCAGAAGGGGAGGGCGTGCCAGAAGGGGAGGAGCACGGGGGAGAGAAGCGGAGTGGAGGAGGAGGAGGAAAACAGACGAGGCGAGCCACATAAAACTACAGCTGCTGCTGGCTTGGCTACTGCTGTGTGCATGTGGCAGAAAATCTGGCTCACTGCTGCTGCACCCACAAGCGCACCTGGCAGGCAGCCTGAGGCTCTGCAGGAGGAGAAGTCGTGGAACCCACTTACAGAGAGCCGCCGCTGCAGCGCGCATGGCATGCACGTCCAGGTGGGCAGGCAGGCACGTCCAGGTGGGCAGGCAGGCACGTCCAGATGGGCCGGCACGTCCAGATGGGCCGGCACGTCCAGATGGGCCGGCACGTCCAGGTGGGCAGGCACGTCCAGATGGGCCGGCACGTCCAGGTGGGCCGGCACGTCCAGATGGGCCGGCACGTGGCACATGGATGTACTCGGTTGCAGCGAGTGCGCATGGCATCTCACAGCACAAGCGCACCTGGCAGCCCGAGGCCCTGAAGGAGGAGAAGTCGTGGAAGCCGCAGAGAGTTGCCGCTGCAGCGCGCATGGCATGCACGTCCAGATGGGCCGGCACGTGCCACACGCGGTTGCGATCGAATATGGAGGGATGGGCGGATGGAGACGCGTGTATGCGGTACAGGTAGCTGGATGGAGGGAGGGAGAGATAAGGCACATGGTGCATGGCATGTAAGTCAAGGTGAGCTGCGCTGGCATGTGCTACAAGCGGTTGCGATCGAAGATGGAGGGATGCGTGGACGTTGATGCGTGTATGCAGTACAGTACAGGTAGCAAAGGGGGAGGGAGGAGGGAGAAGGGGGAGCGAAGAGAGGAGGAGAATTGGAGGAGGGTGAAGGAGGGGGAAGGATGGAACGGCGGATGGGGCGTGGCACCGGAGGGAGGAGGGAGGAAAAGAGGGGGGAGGGGGGAAGTGGGACAGAGTGAGGAGGAGGGAAGGAGTGAGGGAGAGGAGAAGAAGGGCGATGAGAAGAAGTGGGGCAGAAGGAACAAAGGGCACGGGTGCCAGAAAAAAAGCGGAGCAAAAGGCAGAGAGGAACGCAGAGGAAAAAGCAGAGCAAGAGGAACGGCAGGTGCTACCTGGTTAGAAGGTCCTATTACTCTCCCCCTCTCCCCTCCCCTCCCACCAGCCCACCTTTCCCCTCCCGCCCACCACATGACCCCCTAAGCGACGCAACGCACGTTCGTTGGGTGGCCTGGAATCTGGCGTGGAAGGAGCGAGGCACCTCCCTTGCTGCCACCACTGATGCCTCTGCTGCTGACAGCTGCATGAGCGGGGAAGAATTGCTCAGACAAAAAACAAACAAACAAACAAACAAACAAAACATCAACGTCCTGTGGATGAGCAAGAGAGAAAAGGGTCGATTGTCGCCTCTCAAGAAAAACAAACAAACAAAGAAAGAGATCCAATGCTGTGCATGGTTGGTAGGTTTGTATGATGTATATGCATTTTCTGCATGGTTGAGATGAAATTGTTGAGGACCAGTATCACACATGAGAGGTTGGTAGGTAATCAGTTGTGGTATGGTGGTACCTGCAGGAAACGGTTGATTTGAGGCGCCTCAAAACTACGGTGGTACCTGCAGGAAATGGTTGATTGCCCGTGTTAGCTCCTTGGGTACGAAGGGTGGCACCTGGCGGATGAGAGCAGACACCGGGATTGCATTGCAAGAGCAGCAGGAGCACAAGGTGTGGAGGGTAGATAGAACCTTGCGCCGTTTGCACATCTAAATGAGCGTACAGCGAGACCAAGTAGCATGTGTAGTGAGCAAAATCTTGCACAATTAAAAGGCCCTTGAGAGAGGACAGGGAGTTCAGAAAGTACCCCTCCCCCCGATTCCCCATTCCCCTCCCTCCCCCCGATTCCCCTCCCTCCCCCCGATTCCCAATTCCCCTCCCTCCCCCCGATTCCCCTCCCTCCCCCCGATTCCCCTCCCTCCCCCCGACTCCCCATTCCCCTCCCTCCCCCCGATTCCCCTCCCTCCCCCCGATTCCCAATTCCCCTCCCTCCCCCCGATTCCCCTCCCTCCCCCCGATTCCCCTCCCTCCCCCCGATTCCCGATTCCCCGATTCCCCTCCCTCCCCCCGATTCCCGATTCCCCTCCCTCCCCCCGATTCCCCTCCCTCCCCCCGATTCCCCATTCCCCTCCCTCCCCCCGATTCCCAATTCCCCAATTCCCCTCCCTCCCCCCGATTCCCGATTCCCCTCCCTCCCCCCGATTCCCGATTCCCCAATTCCCCTCCCTCCCCCCGATTCCCAATTCCCCAATTCCCCAATTCCCCTCCCTCCCCCCCGATTCCCGATTCCCCTCCCTCCCCCCGATTCCCCATTCCCCTCCCTCCCCCCGATTCCCCATTCCCCAATTCCCCTCCCTCCCCCCAATTCCCCTCCCTCCCCCCGATTCCCGATTCCCAATTCCTCTCCCTCCCCCCGATTCCCAATTCCCCTCCCTCCCCCCGATTCCCGATTCCCTCCCTCCCCCCGATTCCCGATTCCCCAATTCCCCTCCCTCCCCCCGATTCCCAATTCCCCAATTCCCCTCCCTCCCCCCGATTCCCCTCCCTCCCCCCGATTCCCAATTCCCCTCCCTCCCCCCGATTCCCAATTCCCCTCCCTCCCCCCGATTCCCGATTCCCCTCCCTCCCCCCGATTCCCCTCCCTCCCCCCGATTCCCGATTCCCCTCCCTCCCCCCGATTCCCGATTCCCCTCCCTCCCCCCGATTCCCAATTCCCCTCCCTCCCCCCGATTCCCGATTCCCCTCCCTCCCCCCGATTCCCGATTCCCCTCCCTCCCCCCGATTCCCAATTCCCCTCCCTCCCCCCGATTCCCAATTCCCCTCCCTCCCCCCGATTCCCAATTCCCCTCCCTCCCCCCGATTCCCCATTCCCCTCCCTCCCCCCGATTCCCCATTCCCCTCCCTCCCCCCGATTCCCCATTCCCCTCCCTCCCCCCGATTCCCAATTCCCCTCCCTCCCCCCGATTTCCAATTCCCCTCCCTCCCCCCGATTCCCAATTCCCCAATTCCCCTCCCTCCCCCCGATTCCCAATTCCCCTCCCTCCCCCCGATTCCCAATTCCCCAATTCCCCTCCCTCCCCCCGATTCCCAATTCCCCTCCCTCCCCCCGATTCCCAATTCCCCTCCCTCCCCCCGATTCCCAATTCCCCAATTCCCCTCCCTCCCCCCGATTCCCAATTCCCCTCCCTCCCCCCGATTCCCAATTCCCCTCCCTCCCCCGATTCCCCTCCCTCCCCCCGATTCCCAATTCCCCTCCCTCCCCCCGATTCCCGATTCCCCAATTCCCCTCCCTCCCCCCGATTCCCAATTCCCCAATTCCCCAATTCCCCTCCCTCCCCCCGATTCCCCTCCCTCCCCCCGATTCCCAATTCCCCTCCCTCCCCCCGATTCCCAATTCCCCTCCCTCCCCCCGATTCCCGATTCCCCTCCCTCCCCCCGATTCCCAATTCCCCTCCCTCCCCCCGATTCCCGATTCCCCTCCCTCCCCCCGATTCCCGATTCCCCTCCCTCCCCCCGATTCCCAATTCCCCTCCCTCCCCCCGATTCCCGATTCCCCTCCCTCCCCCCGATTCCCGATTCCCCTCCCTCCCCCCGATTCCCAATTCCCCTCCCTCCCCCTGATTCCCAATTCCCCTCCCTCCCCCCGATTCCCAATTCCCCTCCCTCCCCCCGATTCCCCATTCCCCTCCCTCCCCCCGATTCCCCATTCCCCTCCCTCCCCCCGATTCCCAATTCCCCAATTCCCCTCCCTCCCCCCGATTCCCAATTCCCCTCCCTCCCCCCGATTCCCAATTCCCCTCCCTCCCCTCGATTCCCGATTCCCCTCCCTCCCCCCGATTCACCTCCCTCCCCCCGATTCCCAATTCCCCTCCCTCCCCCCGATTCCCAATTCCCCTCCCTCCCCCCGATTCCCAATTCCCCTCCCTCCCCCCGATTCCCGATTCCCCTCCCTCCCCCCGATTCCCGATTCCCCTCCCTCCCCCCGATTCCCAATTCCCCTCCTCCCCCGATTCCCCTCCCTCCCCCCGATTCCCGATTCCCCTCCCTCCCCCCGATTCCCCTCCCTCCCCCTGATTCCCTCCCTCCCCCCGATTCCCCTCCCTCCCCCCGATTCCCCTCCCTCCCCCCGATTCCCCTCCCTCCCCCCGATTCCCTCCCTCCCCCCGATTCCCCTCCCTCCCCCCGATTCCCCTCCCTCCCCCCGATTCCCGATTCCCCTCCCTCCCCCCGATTCCCGATTCCCCTCCCTCGCCCCAATTCCCGATTCCCCTCCCTCCCGATTCCCGATTCCCCTCCCTCCCCCCGATTCCCGATTCCCCTCCCTCCCCCCGATTCCCGATTCCCCTCCCTCCCCCCGATTCCCGATTCCCCTCCCTCCCCCCGATTCCCGATTCCCCTCCCTCCCCCCGATTCCCGATTCCCCTGCCTCCCCCCGATTCCCGATTCCCCTCCCTCCCCCCGATTCCCAATTCCCCTCCCTCCCCCCGATTCCCAATTCCCCTCCCTCCCCACGATTCCCCATTCCCCTCCCTCCCCCCGATTCCCCATTCCCCTCCCTCCCCCCGATTCCCCATTCCCCTCCCTCCCCCCGATTCCCAATTCCCCTCCCTCCCCCTGATTCCCAATTCCCCTCCCTCTTCCCGATTCCCGATTCCCCTCCCTCCCCCCGATTCCAATTCCCCTCCCTCCCCCTGATTCCCAATTCCCCTCCCTCCCCCCGATTCCCAATTCCCCTCCCTCCCCCCGATTCCCCATTCCCCTCCCTCCCCCCGATTCCCCATTCCCCTCCCTCCCCCCGATTCCCAATTCCCCAATTCCCCTCCCTCCCCCCGATTCCCAATTCCCCTCCCTCCCCCCGATTCCCAATTCCCCTCCCTCCCCTCGATTCCCGATTCCCCTCCCTCCCCCCGATTCACCTCCCTCCCCCCGATTCCCAATTCCCTCCCTCCCCCCGATTCCCAATTCCCCTCCCTCCCCCCGATTCCCAATTCCCCTCCCTCCCCCCGATTCCCGATTCCCCTCCCTCCCCCCGATTCCCGATTCCCCTCCCTCCCCCCGATTCCCAATTCCCCTCCCTCCCCCGATTCCCCTCCCTCCCCCCGATTCCCGATTCCCCTCCCTCCCCCCGATTCCCCTCCTCCCCCTGATTCCCCTCCCTCCCCCCGATTCCCCTCCCTCCCCCCGATTCCCCTCCCTCCCCCCGATTCCCCTCCCTCCCCCCGATTCCCTCCCTCCCCCCGATTCCCCTCCCTCCCCCCGATTCCCCTCCCTCCCCCCGATTCCCGATTCCCCTCCCTCCCCCCGATTCCCGATTCCCCTCCCTCGCCCCAATTCCCGATTCCCCTCCCTCCCGATTCCCGATTCCCCTCCCTCCCCCCGATTCCCGATTCCCCTCCCTCCCCCCGATTCCCGATTCCCCTCCCTCCCCCCGATTCCCGATTCCCCTCCCTCCCCCCGATTCCCGATTCCCCTCCCTCCCCCCGATTCCCGATTCCCCTGCCTCCCCCCGATTCCCGATTCCCCTCCCTCCCCCCGATTCCCAATTCCCCTCCCTCCCCCCGATTCCCATTCCCCTCCCTCCCCACGATTCCCCATTCCCCTCCCTCCCCCCGATTCCCATTCCCCTCCCTCCCCCCGATTCCCCATTCCCCTCCCTCCCCCCGATTCCCAATTCCCCTCCCTCCCCCTGATTCCCAATTCCCCTCCCTCTTCCCGATTCCCGATTCCCCTCCCTCCCCCCGATTCCCCTCCCTCCCCCCGATTCCCCTCCCTCCCCCCGATTCCCGATTCCCCCTCCCTCCCCCCCGATTCCCGATTCCCTCCTCTCCCTCCCTTCCCCCAATTCCCGATTCCCCTCCCTCCCGATTCCCGATTCCCCTCCCTCCCCCCGATTCCCGATTCCCCTCCCTCCCCCCGATTCCCGATTCCCCTCCCTCCCCCCGATTCCCGATTCCCCTCCCTCCCCCCGATTCCCGATTCCCCTCCCTCCCCCCGATTCCCGATTCCCTCCCTCCCCCCGATTCCCAATTCCCCTCCCTCCCCCCGATTCCCAATTCCCCTCCCTCCCCACGATTCCCCATTCCCCTCCCTCCCCCCGATTCCCCATTCCCCTCCCTCCCCCCGATTCCCCATTCCCCTCCCTCCCCCCGATTCCCAATTCCCCTCCCTCCCCCTGATTCCCAATTCCCCTCCCTCCCCCCGATTCCCGATTCCCCTCCCTCCCCCCGATTCCCCTCCCTCCCCCCGATTCCCAATTCCCCTCCCTCCCCCCGATTCCCAATTCCCCTCCCTCCCCCCGATTCCCGATTCCCTCCCTCCCCCCGATTCCCGATTCCCCTCCCTCCCCCCGATTCCCCTCCCTCCCCCCGATTCCTAATTCCCCTCCCTCCCCCCGATTCCCCTCCCCCCCCCTGATTCCCAATTCCCCTCCCTCCCCCCGATTCCCGATTCCCCTCCCTCCCCCCGATTCCCCTCCCTCCCCCGATTCCCCTCCCTCCCCCCGATTCCCAATTCCCCTCCCTCCCCCCGATTCCCAATTCCCCTCCCTCCCCCCGATTCCCGATTCCCCTCCCTCCCCCCGATTCCCAATTCCCCTCCCTCCCCCCGATTCCCAATTCCCCTCCCTCCCCCCGATTCCCAATTCCCCTCCCTCCCCCCGATTCCCAATTCCCCTCCCTCCCCCCGATTTCCAATTCCCCTCCCTCCCCCAGATTCCCAATTCCCCAATTCCCCTCCCTCCCCCCGATTCCCAATTCCCCTCCCTCCCCCCGATTCCCAATTCCCCTCCCTCCCCCCGATTCCCAATTCCCCTCCCTCCCCCCGATTCCCAATTCCCCTCCCTCCCCCCGATTCCCAATTCCCCTCCCTCCCCCCGATTCCAATTCCCCAATTCCCCTCCCTCCCCCCGATTCCCAATTCCCCTCCCTCCCCCCGATTCCCGATTCCCCTCCCTCCCCCCGATTCCCCTCCCTCCCCCCGATTCCCAATTCCCCCTCCCTCCCCCCGATTCCCAATTCCCCTCCCTCCCCCCGATTCCCAATTCCCCTCCCTCCCCCCGATTCCCGATTCCCCTCCCTCCCCCCGATTCCCAATTCCCCTCCCTCCCCCCGATTCCCAATTCCCCTCCCTCCCCCCGATTCCCAATTCCCCTCCCTCCCCCCGATTCCCAATTCCCCAATTCCCCTCCCTCCCCCCGATTCCCAATTCCCCTCCCTCCCCCCGATTCCCAATTCCCCTCCCTCTCCCCGATTCCCCTCCCTCCCCCCGATTCCCAATTCCCCTCCCTCCCCCCTATTCCCCTCCCTCCCCCCGATTCCCCTCCCTCCCCCCGATTCCCAATTCCCCTCCCTCCCCCCGATTCCCAATTCCCCTCCCTCCCCCCGATTCCCAATTCCCCTCCCTCCCCCCGATTCCCGATTCCCCTCCCTCCCCCCGATTCCCAATTCCCCTCCCTCCCCCCGATTCCAATTCCCCTCCCTCCCCCCGATTCCCAATTCCCCTCCCTCCCCCCGATTCCCAATTCCCCAATTCCCCTCCCTCCCCCCGATTCCCAATTCCCCTCCCTCCCCCCGATTCCCAATTCCCCTCCCTCCCCCCGATTCCCCATTCCCCAATTCCCCTCCCTCCCCCCGATTCCCAATTCCCCAATTCCCCTCCCTCCCCCCGATTCCCAATTCCCCTCCCTCCCCCCGATTCCCAATTCCCCTCCCTCCCCCCGATTCCCAATTCCCCTCCCTCCCCCCGATTCCCAATTCCCCTCCCTCCCCCCGATTCCCAATTCCCCTCCCTCCCCCCGATTCCCAATTCCCCTCCCTCCCCCCGATTCCCAATTCCCCTCCCTCCCCCCAGTTCCCAATTCCCCTCCCTCCCCCCGATTCCCAATTCCCTCCCTCCCCCCGATTCCCAATTCCCCTCCCTCCCCCCGATTCCCCTCCCTCCCCCCGATTCCCAATTCCCCTCCCTCCCCCCGATTCCCAATTCCCCTCCCCCCCCCCGATTCCCGATTCCCCTCCCTCCCCCCGATTCCCGATTCCCCTCCCTCCCCCCGATTCCCAATTCCCCTCCCTCCCCCCGATTCCCAATTCCCCAATTCCCCTCCTTCCCCCCGATTCCCAATTCCCCTCCCTCCCCCCGATTCCCAATTCCCCTCCCTCCCCCCGATTCCCTCCCTCCCCCCGATTCCCCTCCCTCCCCCCGATTCCCCTCCCTCCCCCCGATTCCCAATTCCCTCCCTCCCCCCAATTCCCCTCCCTCCCCCCGATTCCCAATTCCCCTCCCTCCCCCCGATTCCCAATTCCCCAATTCCCCTCCCTCCCCCCGATTCCCAATTCCCCTCCCTCCCCCCGATTCCCAATTCCCTCCCTCCCCCCGATTCCCAATTCCCCTCCCTCCCCCGGATTCCCAATTCCCCTCCCTCCCCCCGATTCCCAATTCCCCAATTCCCCTCCCTCCCCCCGATTCCCATTCCCCAATTCCCCTCCCTCCCCCCCGATTCCCAATTCCCCTCCCTCCCCCCGATTCCCCTCCCTCCCCCCGATTCCCAATTCCCCTCCGTCCCCCCGATTCCCAATTCCCCTCCCTCCCCCCGATTCCCAATTCCCCAATTCCCCTCCCTCCCCCCGATTCCCAATTCCCCTCCCTCCCCCCGATTCCCAATTCCCCTCCCTCCCCCCGATTCCCAATTCCCCTCCCTCCCCCCGATTCCCAATTCCCCTCCCTCCCCCCGATTCCCCTCCCTCCCCCCGATTCCCCTCCCTCCCCCCGATTCCCAATTCCCCTCCCTCCCCCCGATTCCCATTCCCCAATTCCCCTCCCTCCCCCCGATTCCCAATTCCCCTCCCTCCCCCCGATTCCCAATTCCCCTCCCTCCCCCCGATTCCCAATTCCCCTCCCTCCCCCCGATTCCCGATTCCCCTCCCTCCCCCCGATTCCCAATTCCCCTCCCTCCCCCCGATTCCCCATTCCCCTCCCTCCCCCCGATTCCCCATTCCCCTCCCTCCCCCCGATTCCCAATTCCCCAATTCCCTCCCTCCCCCCGATTCCCAATTCCCCTCCCTCCCCCCGATTCCCAATTCCCCTCCCTCCCCTCGATTCCCGATTCCCCTCCCTCCCCCCGATTCACCTCCCTCCCCCCGATTCCCAATACCCCTCCCTCCCCCCGATTCCCAATTCCCCTCCCTCCCCCCGATTCCCAATTCCCCTCCCTCCCCCCGATTCCCGATTCCCCTCCCTCCCCCCGATTCCCGATTCCCCTCCCTCCCCCCGATTCCCAATTCCCCTCCCTCCCCCGATTCCCCTCCCTCCCCCCGATTCCCGATTCCCCTCCCTCCCCCCGATTCCCCTCCCTCCCCCTGATTCCCCTCCCTCCCCCCGATTCCCCTCCCTCCCCCCGATTCCCCTCCCTCCCCCCGATTCCCCTCCCTCCCCCCGATTCCCCTCCCTCCCCCCGATTCCCCTCCCTCCCCCCGATTCCCCTCCCTCCCCCCGATTCCCGATTCCCCTCCCTCCCCCCGATTCCCGATTCCCCTCCCTCGCCCCAATTCCCGATTCCCCTCCCTCCCGATTCCCGATTCCCCTCCCTCCCCCCGATTCCCGATTCCCCTCCCTCCCCCCGATTCCCGATTCCCCTCCCTCCCCCCGATTCCCGATTCCCCTCCCTCCCCCCGATTCCCGATTCCCCTCCCTCCCCCCGATTCCCGATTCCCCTGCCTCCCCCCGATTCCCGATTCCCCTCCCTCCCCCCGATTCCCAATTCCCCTCCCTCCCCCCGATTCCCAATTCCCCTCCCTCCCCACGATTCCCCATTCCCCTCCCTCCCCCCGATTCCCCATTCCCCTCCCTCCCCCCGATTCCCCATTCCCCTCCCTCCCCCCGATTCCCAATTCCCCTCCCTCCCCCTGATTCCCAATTCCCCTCCCTCTTCCCGATTCCCGATTCCCCTCCCTCCCCCCGATTCCCCTCCCTCCCCCCGATTCCCCTCCCTCCCCCCGATTCCCGATTCCCCTCCCTCCCCCCGATTCCCGATTCCCCTCCCTCTCCCCAATTCCCGATTCCCCTCCCTCCCGATTCCCGATTCCCCTCCCTCCCCCCGATTCCCGATTCCCCTCCCTCCCCCCGATTCACGATTCCCCTCCCTCCCCCCGATTCCCGATTCCCCTCCCTCCCCCCGATTCCCGATTCCCCTCCCTCCCCCCGATTCCCGATTCCCCTCCCTCCCCCGATTCCCAATTCCCCTCCCTCCCCCCGATTCCCAATTCCCCTCCCTCCCCACGATTCCCCATTCCCCTCCCTCCCCCCGATTCCCCATTCCCCTCCCTCCCCCCGATTCCCCATTCCCCTCCCTCCCCCCGATTCCCAATTCCCCTCCCTCCCCCTGATTCCCAATTCCCTCCCTCCCCCCGATTCCCGATTCCCCTCCCTCCCCCCGATTCCCCTCCCTCCCCCCGATTCCCAATTCCCCTCCCTCCCCCCGATTCCCAATTCCCCTCCCTCCCCCCGATTCCCGATTCCCCTCCCTCCCCCCGATTCCCGATTCCCCTCCCTCCCCCCGATTCCCCTCCCTCCCCCCGATTCCTAATTCCCCTCCCTCCCCCCGATTCCCCTCCCCCCCCCTGATTCCCAATTCCCCTCCCTCCCCCCGATTCCCGATTCCCCTCCCTCCCCCCGATTCCCCTCCCTCCCCCGATTCCCCTCCCTCCCCCCGATTCCCAATTCCCCTCCCTCCCCCCGATTCCCAATTCCCCTCCCTCCCCCCGATTCCCAATTCCCCTCCCTCCCCCCGATTCCCGATTCCCCTCCCTCCCCCCGATTCCCAATTCCCCTCCCTCCCCCCGATTCCCAATTCCCCTCCCTCCCCCCGATTCCCAATTCCCCTCCCTCCCCCCGATTCCAATTCCCCTCCCTCCCCCCGATTTCCAATTCCCCTCCCTCCCCCAGATTCCCAATTCCCCAATTCCCCTCCCTCCCCCCGATTCCCAATTCCCCTCCCTCCCCCCGATTCCCAATTCCCCAATTCCCCTCCCTCCCCCCGATTCCCAATTCCCCTCCCTCCCCCCGATTCCCAATTCCCCTCCCTCCCCCCGATTCCCAATTCCCCTCCCTCCCCCCGATTCCCAATTCCCCAATTCCCCTCCCTCCCCCCGATTCCCAATTCCCCTCCCTCCCCCCGATTCCCAATTCCCCTCCCTCCCCCCGATTCCCCTCCCTCCCCCCGATTCCCAATTCCCCTCCCTCCCCCCGATTCCCAATTCCCCTCCCTCCCCCCGATTCCCAATTCCCCTCCCTCCCCCCGATTCCCGATTCCCCTCCCTCCCCCCGATTCCCAATTCCCCTCCCTCCCCCCGATTCCCAATTCCCCTCCCTCCCCCCGATTCCCAATTCCCCTCCCTCCCCCCGATTCCCAATTCCCCAATTCCCCTCCCTCCCCCCGATTCCCAATTCCCCTCCCTCCCCCCGATTCCCAATTCCCCTCCCTCTCCCCGATTCCCCTCCCTCCCCCCGATTCCCAATTCCCCTCCCTCCCCCCTATTCCCCTCCCTCCCCCCGATTCCCCTCCCTCCCCCCGATTCCCAATTCCCCTCCCTCCCCCCGATTCCCAATTCCCCTCCCTCCCCCCGATTCCCAATTCCCCTCCCTCCCCCCGATTCCCGATTCCCCTCCCTCCCCCCGATTCCCAATTCCCCTCCCTCCCCCCGATTCCCAATTCCCCTCCCTCCCCCCGATTCCCAATTCCCCTCCCTCCCCCCGATTCCCAATTCCCCAATTCCCCTCCCTCCCCCCGATTCCCATTCCCCTCCCTCCCCCCGATTCCCAATTCCCTCCCTCCCCCCGATTCCCCATTCCCCAATTCCCCTCCCTCCCCCCGATTCCCAATTCCCCAATTCCCCTCCCTCCCCCCGATTCCCAATTCCCCTCCCTCCCCCCGATTCCCAATTCCCCTCCCTCCCCCCGATTCCCAATTCCCCTCCCTCCCCCCGATTCCCAATTCCCCTCCCTCCCCCCGATTCCCAATTCCCCTCCCTCCCCCCGATTCCCAATTCCCCTCCCTCCCCCCGATTCCCAATTCCCCTCCCTCCCCCCAGTTCCCAATTCCCCTCCCTCCCCCCGATTCCCAATTCCCTCCCTCCCCCCGATTCCCAATTCCCCTCCCTCCCCCCGATTCCCCTCCCTCCCCCCGATTCCCAATTCCCCTCCCTCCCCCCGATTCCCAATTCCCCTCCCCCCCCCCCGATTCCCGATTCCCCTCCCTCCCCCCGATTCCCGATTCCCCTCCCTCCCCCCGATTCCCAATTCCCCTCCCTCCCCCCGATTCCCAATTCCCCAATTCCCCTCCTTCCCCCCGATTCCCAATTCCCCTCCCTCCCCCCGATTCCCAATTCCCCTCCCTCCCCCCGATTCCCCTCCCTCCCCCCGATTCCCCTCCCTCCCCCCGATTCCCAATTCCCCTCCCTCCCCCCAATTCCCCTCCCTCCCCCCGATTCCCAATTCCCCTCCCTCCCCCCGATTCCCAATTCCCCAATTCCCCTCCCTCCCCCCGATTCCCAATTCCCCTCCCTCCCCCCGATTCCCAATTCCCCTCCCTCCCCCCGATTCCCAATTCCCCTCCCTCCCCCGGATTCCCAATTCCCCTCCCTCCCCCCGATTCCCAATTCCCCAATTCCCCTCCCTCCCCCCGATTCCCAATTCCCCAATTCCCCTCCCTCCCCCCGATTCCCAATTCCCCTCCCTCCCCCCGATTCCCCTCCCTCCCCCCGATTCCCAATTCCCCTCCGTCCCCCCGATTCCCAATTCCCCTCCCTCCCCCCGATTCCCAATTCCCCAATTCCCCTCCCTCCCCCCGATTCCCAATTCCCCTCCCTCCCCCCGATTCCCAATTCCCCTCCCTCCCCCCGATTCCCAATTCCCCTCCCTCCCCCCGATTCCCCTCCCTCCCCCCGATTCCCCTCCCTCCCCCCGATTCCCAATTCCCCTCCCTCCCCCCGATTCCCAATTCCCCAATTCCCCTCCCTCCCCCCGATTCCCAATTCCCCTCCCTCCCCCCGATTCCCAATTCCCCTCCCTCCCCCCGATTCCCAATTCCCCAATTCCCCTCCCTCCCCCCGATTCCCAATTCCCCTCCCTCCCCCCGATTCCCAATTCCCCAATTCCCCTCCCTTTCCCCGATTCCCAATTCCCCTCCCTCCCCCCGATTCCCAATTCCCCTCCCTCCCCCCGATTCCCAATTCCCCTCCCTCCGATTCCCCTCCCTCCCCCCGATTCCCCTCCCTCCCCCCGATTCCCAATTCCCCTCCCTCCCCCCGATTCCCGATTCCCCTCCCTCCCCCGATTCCCAATTCCCCTCCCTCCCCCCGATTCCCAATTCCCCCCCGATCCAATCCCTCCCTCCCCCCGATTCCCAATTCCCCTCCCTCCCCCCGATTCCCAATTCCCCTCCCTCCCCCCGATTCCCAATTCCCCAATTCCCCTCCCTCCCCCCGATTCCCAATTCCCCAATTCCCCTCCCTCCCCCCGATTCCCAATTCCCCTCCCTCCCCCCGATTCCCCTCCCTCCCCCCGATTCCCAATTCCCCTCCGTCCCCCCGATTCCCAATTCCCCTCCCTCCCCCCGATTCCCAATTCCCCTCCCTCCCCCCGATTCCCAATTCCCCTCCCTCCCCCCGATTCCCAATTCCCCTCCCTCCCCCCGATTCCCAATTCCCCTCCCTCCCCCCGATTCCCAATTCCCCAATTCCCCTCCCTCCCCCTGATTCCCAATTCCCCAATTCCCCTCCCACAGCAGCACATGCATCCGCACACATCGGGCACTCGAGCCAAGTCAACGGCGACAACTTCTGGGCAGCCCAAGAAAAGCATGAGCCAAGGGCGTAACTGTTCTGCCGGAGCCGACAATTTGAGGCAGAGGGAGTGGCAGCGAGATGACTTTTGAGTCGACTCAAAAGTTATCCTTCTAACGAGGATGGATAGAAGCAGAGGGCGTAACTGTTCTGCTGGAGCCGACAACTTGAGGCAGAGGGAGTGGCGGCGGCAAAGACTCCAAGGTGTCCCCACCAGCTCGGGATGCTGCTGCTGCTGCCTCCGCAACATGACAACCTTCCGATGCCCCGGATGCTCCAAGCCGACTCGCATCAGCAGCATCTGCCATTGCACCTGCACCAGCTTTCGCATCAGCTTTTGCGTCTGCTCGTGCATTGGGACCGCCATCCTCCTTGCCTGCGCGCCCGTGTGCTTCAGCCTGTGGTCTCTTGTTGCCTTTGCCTCGCTGCCTCTTGTGGTTCCCTGTGGGGACAGACCCCACCAGCTTCCCTATTGCATCCTGCAAGGCGGGAAAGAATCAGGGAGGTAGTGGAGCGAGTGAATTGCATTCCAAAATTCTCGAAAGCAACCAGCATCCCTGCCTCCTGTGCGGCAGGAGAGAGACGAGACGTAGTGGAGCGAGTGAATGGTACTATCAATCATGCGGAGGCATGGGGAACGCCTAACGACTCGATTAAGAAAAAAAAAACACCTAGAGAATGCCAATGGGAATAAAATGCGTTATGAAGTCACATCACAACATCGTCCATCCACGTAGATGGTTCCAGTGAGCGTGCATGCATCGCATTCACGCATCGCATGCATCCCTGGAATGGAACAATCACCACGATCTTTTGTTTGCGCCTCACACGAGATCCTCACACGACATTACACATGCTATACACATGCTCCACTCACGCTCACACACGCTTCACTCACGCTCACACACGCTCCACTCACGCTCGCACACGCTCAACCCCCTCCCCCTCACCTCAAGAGCCCCTTGTACTGACGGCAGCGGGTTGTTCCCCAGGGGCTGCTTCTGCCACCCGCTAAAAGCACTCCCGATATACTCCACTGTTAGCAGATACCGACGCTGCAGAGGGGATGGAGGAGAGAGTTTTGAGAGGTCAATTCCCCAAGGGCTGTCTCATACCCGCTAAAAGCACTCCCGATAAACTCCACTGTTAGCAGATACCGACGCTGCAGAGGGGATGGAGGAGGAGAGAGTTTCAAAAGGTCAAGATAGATCTCCAAGGGCTGCCTCTGCCACCCGCTTTAAGCACTCCCGATATACACTACCGTCAGCAGGTACCGACGCTGCAAAGAGGGTGGACGAGGCACGGATACCCATGTGCGATGTGATGCATGGTACCCATGTGCGATATGATGCATGGGACCCATGTGCGATGTGATGCATGATACCCATGTGCGATGCGTGATACGCTTCTGATGAAATGCATGTACGATGCATGCGGGTTACGGGGGAGGGTAGCTTACTGGAGCAGACGCTGCAGCAGCAGATGCGGCCGGTTCCATGATAACGGGATAAACTCAGAACTGTACGACCACACCATCGGTATCAGTCCATGATCATTATGAGCACCTTCACAACATCCCGCTACAGCTTTCGATACGGCGACGCTCTTATGACGGATGAGAAAACGCAATGAGCTGACTTGAATCGACCCGGCAGCGGGAACTGGCTTGACGGAAACGGTTCGCACACTGGACTGACGAGGCTGTTTGGGAGCAGAACTGCTAGGAAGTTACTGCGCGGTTACTGAAGGGTCAACAGCAGAGGTCGGCTGGTGGAGCAAGTACGTGAAGTGAAAAGGGACGAGAGTGAAGGCTGCTTTCATGGATCCTCCTATCCCGAGGTTGCCATGATCCAGCCAGGCTTCCAATCGTACGCGATAATAGACATGATCGGATAGTAAAAATCGGTTATTTGTAGATAGCTGGAAAGCACATTTGGCTGTCAAGCACTTGGGCAAAGTTACCTGCGCTAAACTGGAGGGCTGCAATCAATCGTGACACCGCTGGCGGAATTTCGCGACGGCTGAATACCTAGACACTGGCCACTCGCGTGCATGCACGAAAATTACCAGCGTCGTTGAAGTTTTTCGCGCGTGACACCGAGCCTCCAAAGATCAACCCAACCAACCTCGATAGTGCCATCGTCAGAACACCCCTCAGGCCAGACAGAACCAATCACCACTCACGCAGTGCGCACCAATGAAATGTCCAGGCGGGTGGTGTGTCGCGGTTCAAATCGGTGAAGCATTCTGAACCGCTTTAAATTGCACAGAACCTTAATGTCAACCACAGAAAGTGACTGTGACTGACTACCGACAGGGCACGAAATGGTTCAGGAGGGAGGGACTCAAAGCACCTGAAAACCAAGCCATTGGATGGAGTCAGTCACTACAGAGTAACTCCATTGAGTTGAGCAGCACACAGTCTGGCCTGCACGTTTTCGTCACTAGACTGTCATGCTACGTGCTACGGTCTAACGCAAGTGTAAAGCCCCAATGGTGAAGTTCGGGCCTGATTTTTGATGCGATTTTGTAAATAGCGGAACGATGTTGATCACGCGATGCAGGAGAACACCGGCACACCACTGGTGAATGCCACGATCCGCGGCGAGATTGTCAAATGCCGTTGGATACAAACATGTTATGTCGTTTCGCGGCATAGTCGAATCCAGTGTGGAACAGACTCGCAGAGGCCAGCGACTAGTTTCATGCTTCTTCTGACGAAGCTACTGTGAAGCTTCCATGGAGCTGTAACTTATTGTTCTCCACCGCCTTCAAGAGCCGAGTCAAGCTTAAATATTACTACCAGCCATCCGATCACTCGAGTTTTGCAATTACGACCGTCTAGCCGTCCGATCACTCCATCTTCGCAAACATGGGTGCGGTGTCTCCCGCCCTGCGATTAGCCGCGTCGCGATTAAGACCGTTCAGCCGCCAGATCAGTCTCGCCGTCGCGTTCCCGTTCATCTGGATGCTCGTCTCCTCCATCACGCGCAACAACCTCGCCGGGAGCGAGCCGTTTGTTGATTTGATTCGATATAAGGCAGTGCCTATAACGGGGATAAAGATCCCTGTGACGATCGTCAACGACACATTCGGAGGCTTAGCGGGTATGCTTTTGAGGAAATACAAAAATGATTCCAGTATGCGTGGAAATGGATAGGAAAATGGACGCGTTTGTTACACTTAAATCGGGATGTCTACAGTGTAGCCAACGGTAACTTGGCTACCGTTGTGTGTGTGCCACTGTTGTAAAGGTGGAAGCGTGAGTTGGCATGCACGAGTCACCCTGTCCTCGTGTTTTATAGGCCTGTTGGAGTGGCTCTTGCCGTCTTGGAGAGAAGGGTAGGCAATCCTCTGCCTTGTTCCTTGCCACCAGGAGCGCGCGGCCGAAGGCTGCGCAGGCGATCGGCGGCGGCCGAAGGCCGCCGGCGCGAGCCGCCGAAAACGAACTCCACACGAAATAATGAGGTGAAAGAGACCCAAACAGCCCTTAAATAGCTCTGGAGGGCAGAGGGCGGAGGGAAGAGGCAGAGGGCAGAGGGCTAAGGGATCCCCTCTCTCTCTCTCTCTCTCTCTCTCTCTCTCTCTCTCTCTCTCTCTCTCTCTCTCTCTCTCTCTCTCTCAAATTGTCGTTCTCCTTGCCTTGTCCAGTCACCTTCTCATTGCGAATCTCTGTCTCCTCTCCTCTGTCACTGGCCATATACAGTGTGTCTGGACGGCACACCGCCCGGATTCCACTTTCAGGCAGGGTCAGGCGAGGGAGCTGACAAGTGGGTCATCTTTCTCGAGGTACGGAGGAACCTTTTGCCAGACGCACTGATTGTTTCAATGTTTTTCAAGGAGGTTTGGATTGGATAGGCCCAAACTTCACATAGTGCTCGCTCTGTCCCATTCCGCTTTCCAGTTCCCTCCCTTCCTCTATCCCGCCCTCCCCATCTCTGTCATTCTCTTTCCATCTCTTCCTCCCTTCCCTGCCCCTCACGCACATGGCAGGGTGGCGCCTGGTGTGATTCAGTCAACGATTGCTACAACCGATCGCTCACCAAGCTAGGATCGTCCAATCACATGCAGCCATACTCGTTCATTGGCATTCTCTCTCCCAACCCTGCGATCAACCCTGGTGAGTGAGTGGCGTTTGATTCGACTCAACAGCTATCGCTCGCAGGAACAGTACTGGTGAGAGTCTCTTTACTGTAGAGTTGCATCAGTGATCCTAAGATTTTTCTACACTCGCTCACCAAGCTCGGCTCGTTCAATCAAATGCGGCCGTATTTGTTCATCGGCGGTTTGTTTCGGGGCTCTGCTTTCAACCCTGGCGAGTATCCTCAATATAGGATCAATCCTAGAAAGTCTTCTGAACGTAGGATCAACCAGCTAAATGCGTGAACCAGTACATACAAGCAGGTCACAAGCACAGGTAGGAGGTCGGGACACCAAGAAAATTGTCCTCCTGGATTTTATTCTGTTTCCTTCAACCTTGCCTTCCCCACTCTCCCTCCCCCACACAATAGACACATCCCCTTCAAGAATACCTCCGTTATTCACCCACAGCCCCGTCACACACAAGCTCTCCATTCCATTTTCACCCTTTTCCTGTTCTCCTGCTTCGCTTTCCCAATTTTCTTGCACGGTCGGTTGTCCCCTTTATAGAGTTCTTCAGTTGGAACCGTGTGGTGGTGCGCTACTGCGACGGCGCTTCGTTCTCTGGCAACAAGAGCTACCGCATCAAAGTACCGGTGCGTGCGAGTGTGTAGGGACGGGAGAGGAGGTGATTTTTCTTGTCGACTTAAAAGCCGCTTCACTTCGTCCTCTGGGAACAAGAGCTACTGCATTACAGTACAGGCGGGTGGATGCGCTTTGTGTGGGGATGGGGGGGATGGGTAATGGGTTGTGTGAGGTGGGTGGGGTGCGGGTGATTACGTGGGGGAAGAGCGTGGGTGCGGTGCGGTTGAGGTGTGTGTGTGTGTGTGTGCGTGTGTGTGTGTGTGTGTGCGTGTGTGTGGGTGTGTGTGTGTGTGCGTGTGTGTGTGTGTGCGTGTGTGTGTGTGTGTGTGTGCGTGTGTGTGTGTGTGTGTGGGTGTGTGTCTAGAGGAGGTTGGTGGGTGTATGTGAGTACATGTGTTTTGTGTGTATGCGCGCATGTGTGCGTGTGTGCGTGCATGTGTGCGGGGGTGCGTGCATGTGTGCGTGTGTGCGTGCATGTGTGCGGGGGTGCGTGCATGTGTGCGGGGGTGCGTGCATGTGTGTGGGGGTGCGTGCATGCGTGCGTGTGGGGCAGAGGAGTGAGTGTGCAAGGCAATGTTGAAGACAGAGAGGGAGGTTTGTGTCACCATCTCTTTCTCATCACACTACACTCTCAAGGCAAGCCCTTATTCCACCCTCCTTTCTCCTATCGTACGTCTCAAAAACAAGCCCTAATTCCACCCTCCTTTCTCCTATCGTTCCTTCCATGTGCCACAGGGGACCAACACGTTCATCTTCTTCCGAGGCATATTGGTGGTGCTAGCAGATCGGTAGACATGTCCCAGCGAGCAGCAGTTTAGGAGAAAGTGTAGCAAAGGAGAAAACAGTTGTTATAGTGTATATGCCACAGGGGATCAACACGTTGATCATCTTCCGAGGCAGATTGGTGCTACGTCTCAAGAGTTCTCAGAAGTAATTCCTCCCCACCCTCTTTTCTCCAATCCCATGTTTTGTTCTCTTCCGTGAATGTGCCACAGGGCACCAGCACGTTCATCGTCTTCCGAGGCAAGGCAAGCACATCATGTGGGCTGTCGTGCATCAGCAACCCTCTGCCTGATTCTTGCTTTCTGGGCATTAAATCTCATCTCCCACCTTCCCTCCAATGGCCCTGTGAATGTGCCACAGGGCACCACCACGTTCATCTTCTTCCGAGGCAAGGCAAGGCAAGGCAAGGCAAGGCAAGCACACCATGCGGGCCGTCGTGATCATGCGTGAGCCACTTGCTCTGCTGATTCGATTCTTGACAGCGTTAAAAGTCGTTTCTCACTCTCCCTCCCATGCTTCTCCGCATCGCATGTGCCACTGCCACAGGGGACCAACACGTTCATCTTCTTCCGAGGCAAGCACATCATGCCGGCCATTGTGAGCCATCTCCTGCAGCACCACAACCTGCGGGCGGCATCGCACGTCCTATTCGGGGGAGGCTCAGCCGGTGCGCTGGCAGCCTTCCTGCACTGTGATTGGTTCGCCAGAACAATGCTGGAGGTGTCTCAACAACCAAACTCCTCCCTCTCTGCTTCTGCTCCTGCTGCTGATGGCGCTACTGGTGGTACTGCTGGTGCTCCTGCTACTGCTGCTGCTGCTGCTTCTGCATCCTCCCCATCCTCCTCCTCCCCGCCACCCCCGGTGGTGAAGTGCATGGGCGACGGGGGTGTGTTTCTGGACACCAAGGACGTGGGAGGGCAGCACGAGATGAGGAAGCGCTTCTCAGCCGTCGTCAGGCTACAGGTAGGTAGGTAGGTAGGTAGGTAGGTAGGTAGGTAGGTAGGTAGGGTCACTAGGGTGTACAGCCTACATACAGGGCAGCTGTAGTCTGTGTTCCAGCCAGGATGGGTGGGGGTGGGGCTACAGATTTGAGCTTGGGCTGCCATCCCGGCAGCACGAGACGAGGAAGCTCTTCTCAGCCGTCGTCAGACTACTTACAGGTACGGTGTACAGTCTACAGGGCAGCTGTAGTCTGTGTTCCAGCCAGGATGGGTGGGGGTGGGGCAACAGATTTGGGTGCGCATTGTCGTGAGGGCAGCAGGCAGCAGCACGAGATGAGGAAGCTCTTCTTGATCGTCCTGTCCGTCATCAGACAGACAGACTGCAGGTATTTCCGGGACTGCTGCTGCTGATGTTGCAGGACATGCAGACAGATTGTGCGGGGGACGCAACTGATGCTGCGCTTGCCGTAAGTAAGTTGACGAGTCACAGGTCACCGAGTCACAGGTCACCGAGTCACAGGTCACAGAATTTGGCTCAACGAGCCACAGGTCACAGAATCTCCATGACCACCTTTGCTTTTGTCCTTTTCCTGTCTCCTAACCCTCTCTCCTGTCGCGTGGTGCCTCCAGATCAGATGATAAATTCTGAAATGCCTGGGGGGGGCTGAAATGCATTTCACGTGCTTTCAGATCATATCATAAATTTTGAAATGCCTGGGGCTGAAATGTATTTCACGTGCTTTCAGATCATATCATAAATTTTGAAATGCCTGGGGCTGAAATGCATTTCACGTGCTTTCAGATCATATCATGAATTTTGAAATGCCTGGGGGGGGCTGAAATGCATTTCACGTGCTTTCAGATCATATCATAAATTTTGAAATGCCTGGGGCTGAAATGCATTTCACGTGCTTTCAGATCATATCATGAATTTTGAAATGCCTGGGGGGGGCTGAAATCTATGTCACGTGCTTTCAGATCAGAAATCGCCAGTCCATGCCCTAGGTGTTCACAGTCAAGTGTGGACACGCCTCATAACCTCTCACCTCGTTCCCCGGGCCTTATTTCCTTCTCTCAGACTCAGAACGCGTGACTTTTGAGTCGACTCAAAAGTCACCACGCCTCATAACCTCTCACCTCGTTCCCCGGGCCCGGGCCTTATTTCCTTTTCTCAGACTCAGAACGCGTCAGTGCACGAGGGCTGTCTGTCTGTCTGGATCTGCTCGTGAAGCATCTCAGGACTACCTGTCTTCACCTGATTCCCTGTAACGCATTGCACCCTCTCTCCTCTCACCTTATTCTGGGGTTGCATTCTGCCCACCTCTCAGAACGAGTCGGTGCACAAGGGCTGTCTGGATCTGATCTGATCTGATCTGCTTGTGAGACATCTCGTAATCGATTCTTGATCACGTGTCTTCACTTCACTTCACCTTATTCCCTGCACCACATTTTTCCTCTCCCTCTCAGAACGTGTCGGTGCACGAGGGTTGTTTTGATCGACTCACCAATCGCACAGCGGAGCGATGGAAGGCAAGCTGCCTGCCCCTCTCTTTTGTCTCCTCTCCTCCCCTCTCCTCTCTTTTCCTCCCCTCTCCTCTGTTCTCCTCCCCTCTCCTCTCTTTTCCTCCCCTCTCCTCTCACTTCTCCTCGCCTCTCCTCCCCTCTCCTCCCCTCTTCTCTCTTCTCCTCCCCTCTCCTCTCTTCTCCTCCCCTCTTCTCTCTTCTCCTCGCCTCTCCTCTCTTCTCCTCCCCTCTCCTCACTTCTCCTCCCCTCTCCTCCCTTCTCCTCCCCTCTCCTCTCTTCTCCTCCATTCTCCTCTCTTCTCTTCTCCTCTCTTCTCCTCCGTTTTCCTCTCTCCTCATCTCATCACTTCTTTACTCCTCTCTTCTTCTCTCTTCTCCTCTCTTTTCGCCTCCACTCTACTCCTCGCTCCTCTCCAATTTTCTTCGCTTCTCGTTTCGTCCCATCTTTTCTTCTCTTCCGCATGAACAGTAACGCATGCTCGCTCTGAGGTATTTCCTGAGGCGCCTTAAAAATCGCCTCATGACCAACAAAGCATGCTCGCTCACTCACGCACCCTATGCACTCTCAAGCGCATCACCCAGATTCAAAACAGCTCGGAGTTGTTCCAGCTGCTGCGGTTCCTCTCCTTTCTTCCAGCTGACTTTTGAGTCGACTCATAAGTCGCCCAGATTCAAAACAACCCGGAGTTGTTCCTGTATTTTCTTCCAGCTGCTGTTCGCTGTCCTGTGTTTTCTTCCAGTTACTGTCTTTGCAGCTGGCCCCTCCTCTCCCTCTTTCACCTCCTTGCCCTCTCTTCTCCTCATTCCTCTCCTCCCCTCATACCTCACTTCCCATCATTTCTTTCTGCTCTCTCAGCAGTGCTTCTTCTTGCATTATTCTTGAGCTGTCGCAAAAGTCCCTCTCTCTCCCCCACCCCCTTCTCCCCGCCCCCGCATCACTGCAGTGTTTCTTTCCCGAGTATTTCCTCCCGCTGCTGCACACCCCTCTCTTCATCGGCAACACCCTCTATGACTCCTGGCAGGTTTGTTCATCCCCGCTCATTCCTCTTCACTTGACTCTCAGGTGCTTCAGGTTCTTCAGGTGCTTCAGGTGCTTCAGGTGCTTCAGGTGCTTCAGTAGTCCTCTAGTGCTTCAGGTTTTCACCTTCACGTGCACGCCCCTCTCTTCATCGGCAGTACCCCCTACGACTCCAAGCAGGTTCGTCCCTGCTTTGTTGGTGTGACTTTTGAGAATTCTCACAAGTCTCCTGGCAGGTTCGTGCCTGCTCAAACGTCCCCGCTCAAACTTTCCCGCTCAAACGTCCCCGCTCATTCCAAGTAGCCTTTCTTCTTGAGACACTTTTATAGCGCCCCGCTGCTTTTTGGCCCCTCTCTTGATCTGCAGTACTCTCTATGACTCCTGGCAGGTAGCTCCTCTTGACTAGACATTAAAGCCCCCCGCTGCCCCAAGTGCTTATCCTCTCCTTCTGAGTAGCCCTTTCTATTGCAGCAGACCCCCTCTTTATCGGCAACATCCTTTCTCCCTCCCTCTCTCCCTCTCTCCCTCCCTCTCTCCCTCCCTCCCTCCCTCCCTCCCTCCCTCCCTCCCTCCCTCCCTCCCTCCCTCCCTCCCTCCCTCCCTCCCTCCCTTCCCTCCCTCCTTCCCTCCCTCCCTCCCTCCCTCCCTCCCTCCCTCCCTCCCTCCCTCCCTCCCTCCCTCCCTCCCTGCCTCCCTCCCTCCCTCCCTCCCTCCCTCCCTTCCCTCCCTCCCTCCCTCCCTCCCTTCCCTCCCTCCCTTCCCTCCCTCCCTCCCTCCCTCCCTCCCTCCCTCCCTCCCTCCCTCCCTCCCTCCCTCCCTTCCCTCCCTCACTCTTACAAGTAGCCCCCCTCATCATTGATAACGAGCCTTCACCTTGAAAGGCTCTCTGCTCCGTGTGTTGCTTGATGAAATATGCTCAGGCCATTTGTTGCTCTGTATTAGGGTCACTTTTCGAGAGTTCTCAACAATGACCTCAATATCACCCCGCTGTGCCGAGCCAAGAGAGTGTATATATCCTGCGGCTCAAAGGACAAGGCGCTATGTTTTGTCGGCTGTCACAAAGAGATCACCAACCACCCTTTTCCTAACCCTGCCAAACCCCCCTTGATTTTCAACCCTGCCCAACCCCTCCTTCACAACCCTGTCAACCCCTCCCAACCCCTCCTTTCCCGACCCTTACGGGGATTTTCATTTCGCTTGCTTATCAGATGAACTATTCTTTCGCCGTCCCAGCGTCCTTCAAATTCCAACCCCTCCTTTACAACCCTGTCAACCTCTCCCAACCCCTCGTAACCCAACCCTTACATACATATCACCTGATTTTCAGATGAACTATTCGTTTGCCATCCCAGCGTCCTTCAAATCCCAGCACTGGGACGAGTGCCGGTTGGCATTGGTGGATTGCCCCGGACAGCTTCTTCGGAAATTCCACAGTAAGTGGTTTGCTGAACCCTAAACCCTTGGATTGAACAAGCAGACATTTCAGGTGCCTTGGATTGAACAAGCAGACCTTTCAGGTGCCTTGGATTGAACAAGCAGACATTTCAGGTGCCTTGGATTGAACAAGCAGACCTTTCAGGTGCCTTGGATTGAACAAGCAGACCTTTCAGGTGCCTCGTAGGCCCTTCAACTCCCAACCCAGCACTGGGACGATTGCCGGTTGTCACTGAGGGATTGGCCCGGACAACTGCTTCGGAAATTCCACAGTGAGTGAGTGCTTGTGCTTGAATTGAACAAGCAGGCTTGCCACGCGCGCGCCTCAAACTTGCCTCAACTCCTCCCAGCACGGGGACGATTGTCGCTTGGCTTGGCACTGACGGATTGCCCCAGGCAGGCAACTGCATTGGAAGTCCCACAGTTGAGTGCTTGTGCGAGCGAGCGGGAGTGTCGCCAGGAACGATGAGATTGTGAGGGTGGGTTTGAAATCAGATTCTTTCGATGCTTCTTTCTTGTCCAGAAGAAGCTTCAAGCTTGGATGCCTAGCCTGCTCATCTGCCTTGTGTACACCACTCCTTCCCTACCTCCTGTGATTCATATTTCTGCATTCAACATCTATGGCGTTATCTGTATTGTGGACAGTAGGGGGAGCGGAAGCAGGATTATCTGGAGCTGTATTCGTCTTTTCTGGATGTACATATTATATATCGTCTATGTATGTACATATATATGTATATTTGTTTGTGTGTGTATATATTGCTAACCTTTTCCTTCAGAACCTCCCCTTGCCGCAGCCTACCGAGCCGAAATGGTGAAGAAGCTCCAGCCTCTGATGCAGGCTCGGGTCTTGTCTTCGGTGCCGAACCTGTGGCAGGCTGCAGGGGAGCAGGCAGGGCAAGGGTGGGGCAGCGGCAGTAGATGGTTGCAGTGGTGGCTACCTGGTGGGGGAGGGGCAACAGGGGGGAAAGGGGGAAAGGGCGGCCTTATCTCAGTGAAGCGGTGCCCGCATGGTTTCTTTCTCGCCTCGTGTCACATGCACACCATGGTACGTTGCATGCACACCATGGTACGTTGCATGCACACCATGGTACGTTGCATGCACACCATGGTACGTTGCATGCACACCATGGTATGTTGCATGCACACCATGGTACGTTGCATGCACACCATGGTATGTTGCATGCACACCATGGTACGTTGCATGCACACCATGGTATGTTGCATGCACACCATGGTACGTTGCATGCACACCATGGTATGTTGCATGCACACCATGGTATGTTGCATGCACACCATGGTATGTTTGTTAGAATTAGGCTGTCAACACTTTGTGTACTATATTCTATATCGCGTAGGTTATTTGCGGGTTGGGTGTAGTTTGTGATCCCAACCCTATCTGGTTGGGATTCCCTCGTAATCCTGCAAATCTGCCAACTCACCAATTGGAGATTTGCTAAGATTCCCATCCCATCCTTTCCCTAGCCTTGCCCATCCCAACCTCGTTTGTACTTAAGGCCTAGTGCCTTCTTTCCTAATCAATCAGTTGAGCTCCATTATTATCATGGTATCAGAGCTAGCAAATTCTGCTCACGCGGAATCCGATCCTTGGCGTCGCGATCATTCTCTTCCTCTCGGCTATGGCGTTCTCGGTTCACGCCTTCTTCGCTTAGCGTTTTTCGTCTTCACATCGTCGCACTGGTCAAAAGCGCTTTCCCGCTCCGTCTACGTGCATTTCCGATTTCAACGGCGGCACATTTCTCCGTCAATTTCCTTCACCGTAAGCTCTGAAATTTCAAATTTCCGTGGCAATTTTCTCACATTTGAAACTTCCAGCAGGTTTTCATCGGTGCAGCAGAGCAGGTTCAGCGGCGCAGCAGAGCAGGTTCAGCGGCGCAGCAGAGCAGGTTCAGCGGCGCAGCAGAGCAGGTTCAGCGGCGCAGCAGAGCAGGTCAGCGGCGCAGCAGAGCAGGTTCAGCGGCGCAGCAGAGCAGGTTCAGCGGCGCAGCAGCACAGGTCAGCGGCGCAGCGGAACAGGTCATCGGCGCAGCAGAAAAGGGGTCATCGGCGAAGCAGAGAAGCAGAACAGGAATCGCAATCTTATTGCCGAAATCGCACATTTCCGCGTTTCAGACTTCGTATCGTTGACTTTAGCGCTGCGCTCCGCGCGAATGGCGACTTCAACTTCTACCCTAGTCGGAAACCTCATCGTTCTCAACCTCGCTCCCAACGGCACGAGCACCAACTTTGGGGAATGGTGCTATGGGGTGGAGAAGCACCTCCTTAGCACGGAACTGAAGGGGATTTGCCTCAAGGACATCCTCCTCAACCGCGGCAAGGGAAAGATGCCTCTCCCTCCCGATCCCCTTGGCGAAGGCGCCACTGCCGCAGAGAAGGCCGCTTTTGACGCTCAGACCACCAAGTACGAGACTGATTTCAGTGTGTGGGAGCAGGCAGATGCAGCAGTTATTAGGGTTTTCATCACCACCACTCCGGTTGAGCTCGTCAAATCCTACCGCACCTTTCGCTCCGCTCATGCGATTTGGAAGTACCTCCAGGACCGTTTCCATGACAAGACAGCAGTGGGTGTTGCCATCCTCATCCCTCGAATGTTCCAGGTCCGCCTTGAGGAATGCCCTGGCATGGCAGATTACATCTCTGAAATCCGCAACATCCATGAGGAACTCAAGGACATTGGGATCATTTTCCCCGAACAGGCACCTGCAGCTGGCCTACTTGTAGGACTGACCCCGGCGTACAATGTCACCAGCTCCATGCTCAAGCAACTTCCCACCAAGGAACTCACCTTCGAAAAAGTCGCATCGGATCTCCTTTCCGCCGAAAAGGACCTTGCAGCCCAAGCATCCGTCAATGCTGTGCGCTACACCCCTGGAATCCCATTCCGCTCCCAACAGGGACCAAGGCGCAACTCCTTTCCCCCATGCCCCTACATCATTAGGAAAGGCCCACGTGCGGGGCAGAAATGCAGAGGCACCAACCACCCTGAGGCAACTTGCTTCAAGAAGCGAGATGATGAGTGGTACGACGTCCATGGTGTCTCCACCAACAAGCGCCCTCCCAACTGGGCCCCACCCCGTCGCGTGAACCATGTCGAGGCAGTGGAGGAACCTAGTCCCTCAGTTGATAGCACCCCATCTGATGTTCGCCTCAACCTGCTGTTCTCTGGTGCTGGTCTTATTAATGAGAAAGGGTCGCAGTACATCGGTGTTTCAAACACACAAGGGATCGAGTTCATACTAGACAGTGGTGCCACCCACACAGTGCTCAAAGACCAAACCGCGTTCGTTCCTTACCAGGCTCCCATCCCACTCCTCGGAGCCGACTCTAGCTTCTCCATCCAATGCCATGGGTCCTCCACAGTTCCTTGTCCAGCATTTCCATCGGGCACAGTCACTGGCATCTGTGCCCCCACCCTCCGCCACAACCTCCTGGCACAAAGTGAAATCCAACAAGCAGGAGTGATCACCATCTTTCCCAATGATGTCGACTACTGTGACCTCTTTGACGCCAAAACCGGCATTCATCTAGCCCGCTTCACTCTCAACTCCAACAACCTATACACGCTCGTAGTACCTCCCATTCAAACGTGCTCCCTCACAAACCTCCCGTTACCTTCCCTTGACTCCTCCGCCTGTCACTGCCGCCTCCTTTCCGACAAAACCATGCTCTTTCATCACCGCCTTGGCCACATCAACTTTCGCGCGCTTTCAGACCTTGCCACAAAACAACTCCTCCACGGGCTTCCAACCTCACTTCCCTCTCCTACCTCCACCCTAGGGCCGCCTTGCCTTGACTGTGCACAGAGCAAGCTTCGTGAACAGCCCCATCCCCCCACTAAGTCCATCTCCGCTGCACCTCTCGATCGCGTGCACATGGACCTTTGGGGCCCAGCTCCTGTTCGCTCTCGCGGTGGACACTTTTACTTCCTTGTCATCATTGATGACTATTCCCGCTATGTGTCTGTCCACCTTCTCTCCTCCAAATCCGAAGCCCCAGGTGTCATCATTGAATGGGCGAAGCAGGCTCACAAACACTTCAAAACCACCATCAAGGTCCTTCACTCTGACGGTGGCGGTGAATTCCGCAACAACACTCTCAAAGCTTTCTGCTCCACTGAGGGTATCCGTCAGACCTTCACTCTCCCGGACAGTCCCCAACAGAACGGTATTGCCGAAAGCCGGAACCGTACATTGGTGCAGATTGCTCGCTGCCTCCTCACGCACGCCTCCGCCCCTCCCTCTCTCTGGGGGTACGCCATGCTTCATGCTGCCGCCCTCCACAATCTCCATCCCCATCCTCATCACACCTACACCACCCCCGCTGAGCTATGGACGGGTCAAAAGCCATCCGTCCGCCCTCTTCGTGTATGGGGGTGCACTTCCTATGTCCTCCTCAACTCCCAAGCCCGTCGTGCGGCTGGCGGCAAACTTGCTCCCAAAACGATCACGTGCGTATACCTCGGGCACAACTTAGATTCGCCAGACTATCTCTTCCTCCATCCTTCCACCAACAAGCTCTATCGCAGCCGGGACGTTTACTTTGATGAGTCCCACCCATTCTACCCCTCCTCCAAGGCTTCCCCCTCTCCTCCGCCTCCCTGTCTTACTTGGGCTGACTTTGACAGTCTCCCTCTTCCCGACACTCCATCTCCTCCTCTTCCCGCTCCCTCCACCATTTCTGATCCCCCATCACCCGCTTCCCCCTCCAGTACCACACAGTCTCCCTCGCTCCCTCCCTCCTCCGCTACCCCTCCTCCATCTCCTCTCGCATCTCCTCCTACCGAGCCCGTTCCTCTCAAAACCTACCAACGCCGTCACCCAGCTCCTCCTCCTCCTCCTCCCCCTCCTCCTCCTCCTGCTCCCACCCCTGATCCCGATCCTGTCTCCACTCTCCCTCCCACTCCCACCTCCCCTTCCGCTACGCCTACTCCGGCCCCGCCTCCCTCACCCATCGCTTCTCGCACCCGCTCTCGCACCCGCTCTCGCTCACCTCCACGACCGT